TATATATATATTGTAAAAGTGTATATATACAGTGGGGCAAAAAAGTATTTAGTCAGCCACCAATTGTGCAAGTTCTCCCACTTAAAAAGATGAGAGAGGCCTGTAATTGGTATCATAGGTAGACCTCAACTATGAGAGACAAAATGAGAAAAAAAATCCAGACAATCACATTGGCTGATTTGGAAAGAATTTATTTGCAAAATATGGTGAAAAAAAAGTATTTGGTCAATATCAAAAGTTCATCGCAATACTTTGTTATATATCCTTTGTTGGCAATGACAGAGGTCAAATGTTTCCTGTATGTCCTGTAAGCATTTCAAGGTCCTGGAGTGGCCTAGCCAGTGTCCAGATCTCAACCCCATAGAAAAACCTTTGGAGGGAGTTGAAATTCCGTGTTGCCCAGCGACAGCCCCAAAACATCACTGCTCCTAGAGGAGATCTGCATGGAGGAATGGGCCAACATACCAGCAACAGTGTGTGCCAACCTTGTGAAGACTTACAGGAAACGTTTGACCTCTGTCATTGCCAACAAAGGATATATAACAAAGTATTGAGATGAACTTTTGATATTGACCAAATACTTATTTTCCACCATAATTTGCAAATAAATTCTTTCCAAATCAGCCAATGTGATTGTCTGGATTTTTTTTCTCATTTTGTCTCTCATAGTTGAGGTCTACCTATGATGCCAATTACAGGCCTCTCATCTTTTTAAGTGGGAGAACTTGCACTATTGGTGGCTGACTAAATACTTTTTTGCCCCACTGTGTATATATATATATATATATATATAAATATATACACAAATCTAGACAGACACACCACTATATATATATATATATATATATATATATATACACACCAGTGCATTCAGAAAGAATTTAGACCCCCTTTAATTTTTTTCAATATTGTTATGTTGCAGCTTGATATTACAGCTGTTTAAATTCTTTTTCCTGGTCGTCCTCCCGTCAGCACACAATGGGTTAACCTCTCCCTTTGGATCCTCAGGACCACCTTTTCCAGCTTAATAAGAAAGAGGCTTTCCCCTCACTTCCTGTTCTCTTTTTTGGTTGCTCCAGGCCACCTGAAGGTACAAGCAACCAGCATTCCCCCTTACTGAACCTTTCCCCCCCCCAGGTTCAGCCTCTCCTGGGGTTGGAGGATCCAGAAACAATAGAGGTAAACTTAAAATACTGGATGCCCTGGGTGCTGGGGCTGTGGGCATATGGTGCTTAAATGGCACTTTAGGGCTGTGATTTGTGTATGGGGCACAAGGCTTACACTGTATCCTTCCTTCCTCCTCCAGCGGCTCACTTATGAGCCCTACCAGCTGCTTCTGAAGCTTCTGGCGCCGACGCTGACATCACAGGGGGGTTGGCGTGGTCGGAGTGTCCCACTGTTCACCTAGCAACCGCACACCTAAAGGCCGGAAGCCATGGCAGCAGCAGCACTGAACGCCACATCTGACATTCCAGTCCACAGCAGTAGGAACACAGGCTGGGCTGCTGGAAGAGTCCTCAGGCACTCTTTTTCCCTGCTCACCTCTGCAGCTTTGCTCTACAGGTTCTGTCTGGAGTTCTCTCTCCATGCCTTGGGGATTGCTGACAGGAAAGATGGAGGAAGATTTAAAGGGACAGATAAAAAAAAAGAAAGTGAAAGATGCAGAGGGAGGGGTGGAGTTGGAAGGGGGCTTACTCATACTCGGTATTTGATTTGATCCCTTTTTATTGTTTCATTCCCCAGTCATGAGCTCACCACAGCCACAGCAGGCACGAAGATCTGTGGAAAGGTACGAGGGGCTTCAAGGAACTATGGTGAAAAGAGCGCTGCTCATAAAACTAACGTGATACCCGTTATTTTTAGAAGCAGGAGCCCTAAAAAAAAAAAAAAGACACTCGTGGAAAGAGAGTTCTCGCCATCGGTCAATATCTCCACGATCCAACTCTCACTCCAAAAACAGGATTCACTCGCCCGTCATTCCAAGCTGCAGTAGAACTCCAGTCATGGAGCCAAGGCAGACAAGCAGGCCCTCAGATGGCCTATGTTGGGCCTGTGTGGTCCCATCAGCTCTCAGGAAACTGTTGTGCACCGAATGTATGAGAGATGTGGCCACAGACAGGAAGCAGAGGCCCAAAGAGTAAAGGGTTATATACATGAGGCAGTAGCTGAAAGCATGCATCTAGACTCCAACACAAGAAGTTCAGAATGTGAACCTACATTAAATAGTCCACAGGACAAAGAGCAAAAACCTTCAGTGCTGGAAATTTCTTCAGGGTCTTCTTCTGAGTCAAGAGGACTTGCTCGATCATTTATTTGATTTCAGTCTAATAAAGTCATACTGTATATTACAGCCGTAAAGGAGTTCATAGACTGGAGTCAAGATTCTCAGCCTCCCGAGAAGGTGAAGAGATTTTTTCCTAACCTCAAAAGACAAGGGGCCTCCTTCCCCTTGTTTGAGGAGATCCGCTAGTTATTTGAGGATGAATGGGAAAAAACAAGAGAAGAGTCAGAATCCAAAATCTGTTTGCAAAATTGTATCCATTTAAGTCCACTTATGCCGCTTTGTGGGAGACAGCACCATGAGTGGACTCGGCTCTACAGTGCCTCGCACATTCAGTGACGGTGAAAAGGGCTCTCTGGTTGATGCACTGGACCACTGACAGAGCTTCAAAACAGGCCTTGTGTAACATCCAATGCAACGACAAAATGTTGTTCGGGAAAACCCTTGAGGATGCTATTAGGCGAGTCACAGGGGGCAAATCAGGCCTGTTACCTCAGATGTCAAGGAAGAGAGACCCCAACCCTTCCAATCAGGGCAGTTTTGAGTTCAGAAAAGCCCGAGAACCCAGATCACACAGACCAGGCAGGGAATACGCTAGACCACAATGGAGAGGGACACAAAGTTCCTTCCTGCGGGATGTGAAGTCCAGAGCAGGTCAGGCTGTGAAGAAGACCGAAAAATCTTTTTGGCAGTTGGTCCGTCCATCCCCTCCAGGTGAGAGCCAGGCTGGGGTCATTCTGGAGGGTATGGACGGTAAGGACTAGGGATCATTGGGTCCAGAAGACAGTGAAACACAGATACCAGATAGCCTTCTGGGAAAAACCACCAAATATGTTTGTCCAAACAGACTGGGTGCAGGACCAGAAGAAATGACAATTCTTGCAAGAATATGTGACAGAATTATTGCGGAAGCAAGCCATCACACCGGTTGGGCCAGAACAACAAGGAAAAGGGGTATATTCCCCTATTTTCCTGGTGCCCAAGGCCTCCGGGGAGCTCAGACCAGTGTTACACTTGAGATTCTTGAACCATTTCATCAACCCGAAGAGATTCAAGATGGAGTCAGTATACACAATTATATCAGTACTTCAACAAGAAGATTGGCTGATTTCAATCGATTTGGCAGATGCATATCTACATGTCCCGATCAACAAGCATCATCAGCGATACCTCAGATTCACAGTGGGGGAAGAGCACTATCAGTTCAAATGTTTGCCATGTGGAAACAAGGAGGCACCCAGAGTGTTTTCCAAGATCCTATTGGCAACCGTAGCTTTTATTTGTATGCAAAAGATAAAGATCTATCACTATCTGGACGATATCCTGGTGGTGGCTGGTTCAAGCGAAGAGCTAACACTACAACGCGACAAAGTATTAGGGATCTTTTCTACTTTTGGATGGCTTATAAACAGCCAAAAGAGCCATCTAATACCGACCCAGGAGATGGAGTATGGTTTTCAACACAAGATTGGGACAAATATTCCTGCCTACCACAAAAAAGTCAAACTACAGGTATGCATCTCCATAGTAATGGGATCACTGGCACAGTCAGCAAAAGACTATATGAAGCTCTTAGGGATATTCATCGCAGCCACTCTGGTGGTGCCTTTGGTTAAGTTCCATATGAGGGCATTCCAAATGTCCTTCCTAAACCAATGGGATGGCTGTTTGATGGACCACGAGATCCGTCTGATCCGCAGATGTGACAGAGCCTAGTCTGGTGGACAGTACCAAGAACCTTCTCACGGGGCATGCCTTTCAGTACGGGAGCCTGGATTATTGTACCTTGGATGCTAGCTTCCACGGCTGAGAGGGCTCACTGTCTCGGGAGACAAGCCCAGGGCAGATGGCATGCTACAGAGACCAGGCACTCAAACCTCCTAGAACTGCAGGTAGCATACTGGGCCCTACGGGCCTTTGAAGGGCTGATTCAGGGAGCCAGGGTCAAGTTAATGTTAGACAATCAAACTGCAGTGGCCTACATAGCCCAACAGGGTAGAAACAAGAGCCTGCCATTGCTCCAGTTGGTGACCAAGATCTTCCTCTGGGCTGATATTCATGTGGAGGCCCTAACAGCAGCCTACAATCCAGCCAAACACAACCAGATAGCAGACCAGCTAAGTAGGAAGTTCCCCGCCAACAGCGAGTGGTCAATCAACAAGCACTACCTGCAACCAATCTTCACAAAATGGGGAAAACCCACTGTGGACCTGGTGGCAACTGCCGAAATTCCTGATGAGGTTCGCATGCGACAAGGCATTAGCGCATCATGCCTTCTCAATTCCTTGGCAGTTCCCTCTAGTGCAGTGGTTCTCAACCTTTCTAATGCCGCGACCCCTTAATACAGTTCCTCATGTTGTGGTGACCCCCAACCATAAAATTATTTTCGTTGCTACTTCATAACTGTAATTTTGCAGTGGGAGAGACTAGCGCCCCATCACTGATGTCAGTGGGATGAATAGTGTCCCATCGTTGGTATCAATGGGAGGAACAGTGCCCCATCATTGGTGTCAGTGGGAGGAATAGTGTCCCATCATTGGTGTCAGTGGGAGGAATAGTGCCCCATCATTGGTGTCAGTGGGAGGAATAGTGCTCCATCATTGGTGTCAGTGGGAGGAATAGTGCCCAATCATTGGCGTCAGTGGGAGGAATAGTGCCCAATCATTGGCGTCAGTGGGAGGAATAGTGCCTCATCATTGGCGTCAGTGGGAGGAATAGTGCCTCATCATTGGCGTCAGTGGGAATAGGTCCCATCATTGCGTCAGTGGGAGGAATAGTGTCCCTATCATTGGCGTCAGTGGGAGGAATAGTGTCCCTACATTGGTGTCAGTGGGAGGAATAGTGTCCCATCATTGGTGTCAGTGGGAGGAATAGTGTCACCATATTGGTGTCAGTGGGGGGAATAGTGCCCCATCATTGGTATCAGGTGCCCCATCATTGGTATCAGTGGGAGGAATAGTGCCCCATCATTGGTATCAGTGGGAGGAATAGTGCCCCATCATTGGTATCAGTGGGAGGAATAATGCCCCATCATTGGTATGAGTGGGAATAGTGCCCCATCGTTGGTGTCAGTGGGGGGGAGGAATAGTGCCCCATCGTTGGTGTCAGTGGGGGGAGGAATAGTGCCCCATCGTTGGTGTCAGTGGGGGGAGGAATAGTGCCGCATCGTTGGTGTCAGTGGGGGGAGGAATAGTGCCCCATCATTGGTGTCAGTGGAAGGAATAGTGCCCCATCATTGGTGTCAGTGGGAGGAATAGTGCCCCATCATTGGTGTCATGGGAGGAATAGTGCTCCATCATTGGTGTCAGTGGAAGGAATAGTGCCCAATCATTGGTGTCAGTGGGAGAAAATAGTGCCCCATCATTGGCGTCAGCAGGGAATAGTGCCCCATCATTGGCGTCAGTCAATAGGACTTCTTCCCAGCCTGGGACTTAGGCATAGTACTAAATTCTCCACTACAGTTCCCTTTTGGGCCTTCTGAATCATGCTCTCCTTGTTGTTTCTGCCAATGAAACTAACCTCCCTTACAGCTATCACAGTAGCGAGAAGGGTGTCAGAATTAGCGCCCTGTCCTGCAGGGATCCATTCTGCATCATTCACCCAGATAAGGTGATTCTGTGTCCTTCGTTTGCCCTCCAAGGTGGTTTTGAGGTTCCTTGTAAACTGGGAGGCGGAGCTACCCAACTTCATGCAACGCCCAGAGCAGATGAACCAATTGGACCTTAGATCACTAGACATGGTCAGTCTGTTGTCAACATGCCTGCAGTGTACACAACATGGGCGCAAGACCAATAACGTATTCATCATCCCATCCGGCTCTAGGAAATGGAGGCTGCATCACTAAGAATCTTAGCCACTTGGATCCTGAGAGCGATCAACTTCTCATTAATCTTCACTCAGTACCCCATAATGAAAAAACGAAAACAGAATTTTAGAAATGTCTGTGAATTCATTAAAAATACAAAACTGAAATATCACATTAACATAAGTATTGGGACCCTTTACAACAACACTTGAACTTTAACTCAGGTGCCTCCCTTTTCTCTTGATTGTTGCTGAGATGTTTCTATGCCTTGTTTGGAGTCCACCTGTGGTAAAAAAAAATTGATTGGACATAATTTTGAAAGGCACATACCTCTCTATAAAAGGCCTCACAGCTGACCATGCATACTCAAACAAAGAAAAATTCCCAACTCAACTTACCAACCAACCTGCAACCAACCAAATTATCCTGTCTAATAGTTGATGTTAAAAACGGGTTTAATTTGCACACATTTGCAAATACATGCTTAAGCTGCAGAGCCTCTTCACGGCACCCCAGTATTTTCTGCAGTCCTAACTCTAGAAATGTTTAGAGCCCCCATAGTAGAAGCACATGCATAATAATGGATAGACTGAGGACAGGTGAGCCTGGAGGGAGGTCACTCCTCCTTAAAGGCATATGAGTGCACTGGACACCCAGCATATAGCACAATGGCAGCTATGGTGTCCAGTGCACCCCTCACCAGTATATCAACAGTACAAAAAACAGTAACTGTCCTAAACTATAACTTGCCTTTGCTGTAAGGAACACATGGAAGAGTGATGTATGTCAAACAACAACAAAGAAAAATTACGAGCTCAACTTACCAACCAGCCTGCAACCAACCGAATTATCCTAACAGTTCAAGTTAAAAACAGGGGTTTAGTATGCACATATCTGCAAATACATGCGTAAGCTGCAGAGCCTCTTCATGGCACCCTGGTATTTTCTGCAGTCCTAATTCTATAAATGTGTTATTTGAAATGTGTTGCCCTTCTATGTGCTCCTTACTGCAAAGACCTCTCTTACTAAGGCCCTTCTCCCCTAAATTGCTTAGTTTGGCCGGGTGACCTCTTGGAAGTGTCCTGGCTGTGCCAAACCTCTGCCATTTGAAAACTATGGATGCCACTGTGCCAATTTACCACAGGTGGACGCCAAACAAGGTGTAGAAACATATCAGCAACGATCAAGAGAGATGGGTGGTACCTGAGCTAAATGTCCAGTGCTGTTGCAAAGGGCCTGAATACGTATGCCAATGTGATATTTCAGTTTTCTATTTTTAATAAACTCACAGACATTTCTAAAATTCTGTTTTTGTTTTTGCATCATGGGGTAGAATAATGAAAAAAATTTATTTAAACAGGTTACATTATTACAAAATTGAAAAAAGTGCAGGGGGGGGGGCTGAATGCTTTCTGAATGTACTATAGATATATATATATAGATATATAGATATCTATATTAATAAAGAATACGAAATTTGACTTATTTATTCCTTAAAAAATTTTTTACATACTATATTATCATCAATCTTTTATATAGTACTACTATTAAAGTACATGAGATAACATTGTACATGTCCCAAAACACTTTTTTTGTATGGTTGGCTTTATGCTACCCATGATATATTACAGTTGTGGCCAAAATTATTCAACCCCCAATGCTGTAAAGGGGTTTAGGGACTATAGTGTACATTTGGAATTGTATTCAGAATCAAATCCTACAAGGACGTTGTAACTACCCAAATGCAACTAAAATGACATCAATTGTTTATGTAATACAGTAGTAAATGGTTCTTATGTGGTTTCTTCATTGCCACAATTATTCAACCCCTTAAAGACTACCACTCTGAAGAACAGAGGTTCATACAGGTGCTTTCCATCAGGTATTGAAAACACCTGTGGATGTCACCGAGCAGCAATCAAGCATAATAAGCACCAATTAGGCAGCTTTAAAATGACTGTGATACTCAGCTCCTTCTAGACATTTACTGGTGTGGTTACAAACATGGTGAAGGCAAGAGAATGGTCCAGGAAGACAAGAGAAGAGGGTGATTTCTCTTCACAGGAAGGGCAATGGCTATAAGAAGATTGCAAAGATGTTAAACATACCAAGAGACACCTTAGGAAGCATCATTCGCAAATTCAAGGCAAAGGGCACTGTTGAAACGCTACCTGGTCGTGGCATGGCAGAAAGAAGATGCTGACTTCGACTGCTGTGCGCTACCTGAAGCGTAGAGTGGAGAGAAGTCCCCGTGTGACTGCTGAGGAACTGAGAAAAGATTTGTCAGATGTGGGTACAGAAGTTTCAGCCCAGACAATAAGACGCACACTGCGTAATGAAGGCCTCCGTGCCAGAACTCCCAGGCGTACCCCCTTGCTGTCTCCAAAGAATAAGAAGAGTCGACTGCAGTATGCCAAAAGCCATGTGGACAAACCACAAAAGTTGTGGGATAGTGTTCTGTGGACTGATGAAACAAAATTAGAACTGTTTGGGCCCATGGATCAACGCTATGTTTGGAGGAGGAAGAACAAGGCCTATGATGAAAAGAACACCTTGCCTACTGTGAAGCATGGTGGAGGGTCAATCATGCTTTGGGGCTGTTTTGCTTCTGCAGGTACAGGGAAGCTTCAGCGTGTGCAAGGTACCATGAATTCTCTTCAGTACCAGGAGATATTGGATGGAAACGTGATGCAGTCCGTCACACACCTGAGGCTTGGGAGACGTTGGACCTTTCAACAGGACAATGATCCCAAGCATACCTCCAAGTCCACTAGAGCATGGTTGCAGAGGAAAGGCTGGAACATTTTGGAGTGGCCATCGCAGTCACCAGACTTAAATCCGATTGAGAACCTCTGGTGGGACTTAAAGAAAGCAGTTGCAGTAAGCAAGCCTAAGAATGTGACTGAACTGGAGGCCTTTGCCCATGAAGAATGGGCGAAGATACCCGTAGATCGCTGCAAGACACTTGTGTCAAGCTATGCTTCACGTTTAAAAGCTGTTATAACTGTAAAAGGATGCTGTACTAAGTACTAAGATTGAATGTCACTTGGGGGTTGAATAAAACTGATAATGCTGTGAGCACAGAAAAAGACATTTGTGGTTATTTCATTATAACTGTTATGTTATATTTGTCTGACCTACAAGTGCCTCTTTAATGTAAATGTAAGCAAGATGACTGAATGATCAAAAGCAATGTCAAACTGGCCAAAACACTCAATTTCAGTGGGGGTTGAATAATTTTGGCCACAACTGTATTATATAGCAGATTGGGCCTACTCTACTGACAACTATCCTATGTCTATGATGATGTAGCAAAACATATCATTATTATACAATGAATACATCAGTGATGCAGATGCATGCAGATGTGGCCATTATATGTTGTCCATTACATGAAATAAATATTCAACAATAGAATATCTGAATAAAGATTAGCTATTACTTTGTGCATCTGTTAAAGATCTTCAGCCAAGCAAACTGATTTTGATTATGTGCGATTTCAATTATTGATGTGAGCTTGCTTCTTGATTAAGTAGTTGCATCATATCAGAATGCGTCCCAGGAACTAAAATGGAAAATTGACTAAAAGCTTCTACAACTGGCTTCGAAATTGCTTTCCTAGAGGATAAGTGAATTTTTCTGTGCAAAGGCTAGAGCTCCAACCTCAATTACATACTAAAATGACTGGATAATGCTTTTACTTGGTTTCAAACTTAAACTCAGGACACTGAGGAACGACCTACAGTATATCAGTAAACATGAGATTGTCTTAGAGACTGTTAATCTAAACACTGCAAATATAAAATCCGTCATTATGTAATAAATCCTACAAATATCCTTTTAATTCAATAGTTTATTAGCCACTGAGAACATCAGAACTAGAACACTTAAAGTAAACTTGTTATGAGAGAAATATGCCATGAAAGCCCAACTACAAGCAAATAAAAAAATAATCCCTTGCAGTGGGGCTGTGCCGCCCCACAAGGTTTCATTGCTTGTTTTGTCTAGGGGAGAGGAGAAACAATTTTACTTACTTTATCCTTCACTCTCCTGGCAGGTGCCGCTCCCCCACAATCTGGTAATGGTCTGTCTCTTTGTTCCTCGTCTATATTGCAGGGCTATGGATCCTGTTCTGGTCTTGATTGCATCAGAACCCTAGACTGGTGAAGCGTGGGGGTGCAGACACTGCGGGGACAGTCTAGCTGCAGGGAGAATTGGAAGATCAGGCAAATAAATCTCCTTTTATTTTTCCCATAGGCATGAATGAGCAGTTGACCCTTGCAGTGCAGGCACAGCTCCACTGCAAAGAATCGTTTTACATTTGCCCAGAGTTGGGCTTTAATGACATTGCTGAACTTCCTGAAAATGCTAGTTGTCTGTTGAGCCACTAGCTTCACTACTTCCCATCCCTGACCCAGAACAAATATGCAGAGCAGGATTGTCAGACAAGAT